AGCTGTAGGCAGGCTAATTAGAAACAGCATCCTATGTGTTGGTTTGAGGTACATAGTTGGCTTTCTCTGGTTGATCTTAAATTCGAAGTAGGGACAAACCTTCTCCAAATCCTAGGGTTTGATTAATACCCTTGTTACAGACCAATGGTTTTTTGTTTTTTATTTATGATTAACACATAATAATTGTACATATTTATGAGGTACAGTGTGGTGTTTCAATGCAGGTATAAATTGTGTAATAATCAAATTAGGGTAATTTGCATTTCCATTACCTTAAACCAGGGGTCCTCAAACTATAGCCCCGCAGGCCACATGCAGCCCACCAAGGACATTTATCTGGCCCACCGGGTGTTTTTGCCCCCATGCTCGTCCTGCTTAGCAGCCTACTAGTCTCGGGCCCACAGTGCGCATGTGTAGAATGTGCACCGCACTCTCCAATGGCCTTCCAACGGTCTGAGGGACAGTGAACTGGCCCCCTGTTTAAAAAGTTTGAGGAGTCCTGCCTTAAACATTTGTAATTTCTTCGTGAAATTTTTTTTAGCTGCTTTGAAACATACAGTACATTATTGTTAACTCTAGTCATCCTGCTATGAAATAGAACAGAATTTATTTCTTCTATGTAATTGTAGCTTTTTATCTATTGACCAATGACACACTGTCTCCCCTCCACCATACCCTCCACATCCTTTGGTAACTACTGTTCTACTTTCTACTTCTGTGAGAACAAGACCACATTTTAGATTCTGTGTGAGTGAGGTTATGTGGTGTCCCGACCCGAAAGAGATGAGCGAGAGAAAGGAACGAGACCAAGCGAATGATTGTCAAGGTCTACTTTACTTGGATTTTTAGTAGGTTTTATATACAGAAAACAAGGAAGTAGAAACAGAAAAATAGAATGGGGGAATAATGAGGCTTTCCTGTGGGCTAATCAGCCCCAATCAGCATCCCAATGGCACCGGAAGCTCTTTGTGATGGATCACTCAACCCCAACCTGGCAGGGGGTTGGGAACAATTGCAGGTGGCATGCCCTGAAGCAAGCATGGCATGGAATGCATTCTTCTTGGAACTATAGCTGGGGGGCTGGGTGCTATTTTCCCGGACAAGGAGGCCTGTGCGTAGGGCAAGTCGTAGGAATGTGAAGGGTCTTAGTCTCCAACAATGTGGTATTTGTTTTTTCTGTGCCTGGCTTATTTCACTTAACATAATGGTCTCTAGGTTCATCCATGTTGCTGCAAATGACAGGATTTCATTCTTTTTTATGGCTGGATTATGTTCTATTGTGTATATTTTCCACATTTTCTTTATTCATTCATCTGTTGTTGGACATTTAGGTTGATTACATATCTTGGCTATTGTGAATTGGGCCAATTGTTATAGTGGTTATTGTTTGGTTTCCTTGTTTATTACTGTAGATAGTAGGCTGGCCTCCTGGGCTGGTTGTTCCAGGTTGTAGGTCAGAGTTATATTTTTATAGATACAGTCCAGCCATTGTCTGTTAGTATATTCAGTCTCTCATTTGTGGACGGAAAAAATCCAAGCCCTGAAATATTTGAAAGAAGTTTATTCTGAGCCAAATTTGAGGACCATGACCCGGAGCCACTCTCAAGAAGCCTTGAGCAAGTGGGCTCGCTGTAGCTGGGTTATAGTTCAGTTTTATACATTTTCAGAGAGACAAGGGTTACAGGCAAGGTCACAAATCAATACATGAGATGCATACATTGGTTTGGCCCAAAAAGGTGGGACATCGTGAAGGGGGGGCTTACAGGTTATAGGTGGGTTTAAAGATTCTTTGGCTGGCAATTGGCTGAGAGGGTTAGACTTTATCTAGAAGACCAGAAAGGATATGCTTATTTTAAGATAAGGTTGTGGGCACTCTGGGAGGTCCAGACAGGAGGACATTTTAAATTTACAATAGGCGCCTGCTAGGATGTTTTAAGCTGCTTTAAATTTAAGAATAGGCATCTGCCAGGATGCTTGAGTTAAGACAGGGTCTTCTTATCTTTTAGGTGATGTTAATGCCATACCAGAATCAGGTCAGGAAGTAAACCACTGCTTCGTTTGGTTAACAAAAGCCGCTTTGTGGGAATTTACCGTTTGTCAGCCTAACCCTGCTGGCCTCCTTACCATTTGCCAGCCTAACCCAGCTGGCCTCCTTAGGAAGGAGTTTTTAGCAAAAAAATTAGAGTTCAGTCCTCACATTTAAAAAAAAATAATTTCATAAGAATTACAGGCCACATCTGGGAGAAGATATTTGTGGTATGTGTATCCAACAAAGTACTTGTATCCAGAATAAATTTTTAAAACTACAATTTAATAAGAAAAGGAAAACTCAATTGTAAAAGTGGGCAAAAGGCTTGAACTGGCAAGTCACAAAAGAGGATCTCCAAATAGCTAATAAGCATGTGAAAAGGTGCTAATAGGGGAACGGCAATCATCAAGGAAATGCAGATCGAATGAGGTATTCCCACATCTCCACCAGAATGGCTAAGATTAAAGAATAAGCATTACCAAGTGGTGGTATGGATTTGGAGCAACTGGAATTCTCAAGCACTGCTGGTGGGAATGTAAATTGGTACAGATACTTCAAAACTGTTTGGCAGTGTCTCTTAAAGCTAAACATACATGGTGTATACTCTGTGACCCAACATTGACACTCCTGGCTTTACCTCTGATAGCAATGAAAGTTTACATCCACTAAATGACAAGTACAAAAATAAGATAACTAAAAGCAGGAAACAACCCAAATGTTTACCAAGAATAGAATTTATTTTTAAAATTTTGGTATATTCATGAAAGAGTACTACAAAAATGCAAAAGAATGAACTACTGCTACATGCAGCAATATAGATGAACCTTACAGGCATAGTTTTGAAGAAAAGCCATTCACACAGCCTTAATAGCATTTGATTACATTTATAAGAAATTCAAAACAGGCAAAACTAATCTATGGTGATAGAGGTCAGAGTAATAGTTACTTTTGGTGAATTTATTAACTGAGGAGGGTGTAAGGGAGCCTTCTGGAATATTGGAAATGTATCACTTTATCTAGATTGTGGTTATATGGGTATATACATATAAAAACAATTTTTTTGAGACAGGGTCTTATTCTGTCTCCCGGGCTAGAGTGTACTGTCATCATCTTAATTCACTACAACCTCAGACTCCTGTGCTCCTAGTGATCCTCCTGCCTCAACCTCCCAAGTAGCTGGGGACTATAGGTGTGTGCCACCTGGCTAATTTTTCTATTTTTTGTAGAGATGGGGTCTCACTTTTGCTCAGGCTAGTCTCCAACTCCTGGCCTCAAGCAATCCTCCCACCTTGGCCTCCCAAATTGCTAGGATTACAGGCCTGAGCCACTGTGCCTGGCCAAAAATATTTATTGAGTTGTACACTCAAGATTTGTGCATTTTACTACATGTAAGTTATAGCTCAATAAAAATGTCATTATGACATTAAAAAAATTTTTTTTAACTTATTTCCTGTTTCAACTCTCAGTCTTGTCAATAGATTTTCTCCTTTTGTTTATACCTTCCCTAAAACCATCTCCCCCTCTGGCTTCCCTGCCTTTTATTAAATGAAACCCTGGTAAATTTGCTTCTCAATTACCTAGGTTTATGGCCGGGCGCGGTGGCTCACGCCTGTAATCCTAGCTCTCTGGGAGGCCGAGGCGGGCGGATTGCTCGAGGTCAGGAGTTCGAAACCAGCCTGAGCAAGAGCGAGACCCCGTCTCTACTATAAATAGAAAGAAACTAATTGGCCAACTAATATATATAGAAAAAAAATATTAGCCGAGCATGGTGGCACATGCCTGTAGTCCCAGCTACTTGGGAGGCTGAGGCAGCAGGATTGCTTGAGCCCAGGAGTTTGAGGTTGCTGTGAGCTAGGCTGACGCCACGGCACTCACTCTAGCCTAGGCAACAAAGCGAGACTCTGTCTCAAAAAAAAAAAAAAAAATTACCTAGGTTTAAAACCTTGGAGCTCCTTTATCCCCTTTCTCCAGTCAGTCTGTAAATCCTATCAGCTCTTCCTTTAAAATATCTCACATCCATATTGTTTCCAAATCATTGCTGTGCTAGGGTTTTAGCCTTGACCAGAAGCCTAAATTATTGCCAAGGACCTAACTGGTATTCCTGCTTCTCATACTCAAAACTGTTCTACATTATGCCAGCAAAGCTAGCTTTATAAAGCACCATTTGATGACATTACCACTCTGTTACTTCCTCTCCTCAAAAGCCTTGGGACACTAGGTGTAGATCAGGATGCTAGCATTGTATTCAAGACACTCATGGTCTGGCCCCAACCAGCTATACTACTTCCCCATCCATGCCAGGGAATGCTGCATATTTCTAAGCCCATTTTGCTCTCTGTTGCATATACCTCTTTGCTCATGCTCTTCTCTCACTAAATACATTCTTCATATCAGCCCATCTCAAATTGCTTCAACCTGGTAAAAGGGCATTTATGATGTGCTTCATGGAATCCATGAAACCCTCTGAAATTAAATACAGACATTCCTACATAGGTGCATTTTTCTGGAGAAAGGGCTTCTCTTGTCAATAGATTCTCAAAAGGGGTCCATGACCCCCCCCCCCAAAAGTTAAATTGATAAGTGGCCTTTTGAAATAATGTAAATTAACTCATTTTATGTGTATTTAGAGAAATTTTTGTTTCTTTAAAACTTAGTCCTAAACGTGTTAGGTAATAAAACATTTTTTAATAGATAGGTTATATTTAAAGCTTAAAGTTTTGGATGCAGGTAAAATGTCCTCATCCATTTTTTAGGTTCCTAGGTAAAGCTCTCTGTGGAATTTATTTTCCTCAAGAGATAGTATCTTAATATTTTTCACTTTGGTATTTTTAGTTAAAGGAGATTTTTTTCCTCCCACTCCCACATGACTTTATAAACTAGTAGACAATACCATCTCTGTATGCTTTGATGTAACAGTCCCTTTTTAAAGATATTAGTTGCATTTTTCATCACTTTTTTTTTTCTGTTGTAGATTCCTATAGGCAATGGAAACTGATCTCAATTCCCAAGACAGAAAGGACCTGGACAAGTTTATTAAATTTTTTGCCCTTAAGGTAATATATCCATTCTCTTGAGCCCAGAACTGTTAGAAATAACTTCCATGCTTTTCCCTTTTGAGAACCCTCTTTGGAAATATAACATAACAGCTTGCAGCTTGCCCATTTTAAGGGATACTTCTGTCTGTTGTAAACCAAACTGTGAGGTATGGGGGCGGTTTTGTGGGTGTAACTAAAAAGTAGCTTCCAATTTTCCACAGCTACTTGTTCAAAATTTTTCTTTGCAAGGCTGTTTGCAGAAATGTCAAACTGTTATGCCAGGTTATTGGCACTGTATGTTTGCTTGGGTTGGGAACAAAGACCATGAACTGGACTGGGCGGCATTTTGGGCATCTTTCCCTAAGCTTCCACTAACCCTGAAATTTCCAACTATTATCTATTGTTCCTTTCCTTGTAAGTGGGGAATTAAAACTGAATTTTGAATGCTTATTTTCCTAAATCTAAAAATTATTTTTACCTGTATTGTTTCTGCCTCTCAACCATTGCCATGTTAGAACAATCCATGTAGTTGATTCTACTTGTAAAATTATATGGAAAACTTTTGCCATATGGGCCAAATGATATGAATAATTGTGGAATTTTTGTTTTAAATTTACTGTGGTGACATAAGTTTGTGGCAGTGAATATTTAAACCCACAGTTGGATTTCTTTCTTTATGAACGTCACAGCCACCATGTGCAGCTTTTCTTCTGCCATATGAGAGTATTACAGGTTCCAAGCCTCAAACTATAATTCTTCTCATTGGTTGATACTATATCCTCAGGAATGTTTACAATCTTATTTTTTGTATGTAGTGTTTATTTTAATCTATTATTAAACATTTAAAATTCTACCCTTTCCTAAAGTATAATTAGGATTAAAGGCATCTTTTAAACCCTGTATTGGGAGGATTTTAACCCTGATCAGGAGACAAATCAGTTTGTTAAGACTTTGCAAATCAGTTTGTTAAGACTTTACATCTTCATTTGCATTTTTTAGACTGTCCAAGTGATTGTCCAGGCTCGACTTGGTGAAAAGATTTGCACCCGTTCATCTTCATCCCCAACTGGTTCAGATTGGGTAAAATTCCTATTCTTTGCTAAGGGGTGTACTGTGGTGTTTGCCACAGGAATGAATGTTAAGTTGTCAAGTGCAATAATAAGGATAATTATAGTATTACTAAATAACATTAAAGTGTCTAATCCCATTTGATCTACTTTCTTGGAAAGAACGTTCCTATCAAATATTAGTCCTGAATTTATTTGATTCTTGACTTTTTGCTATGATAGGTGAAAAGCTTAGTCCTTAGAAGACAAAAAGAATATCTTAGCTAATCTCTATAACAGGTAATTAGCTTTTTCAACCAGAGATTGGGGCTTTGATGTAGAATTATCTCTTATGGGGAAGCAAGAAATAAATCAATGTCTTCCTTAATTAGCCAGAGCAATGCCTTATTACCCAACATACTAATTTCCATACTTTTTTCCATAATGTTCCTTGTGAGGGAACATTATGGAAAAAGTCCCTTTTGTCTTCTAGTTCAATTTAGCAATCAAAGACATCCCAGAGGTTACACATGAAGCAAAGAAGGCACTGGCAGGGCAGCTGCCTGCTGTCGGGAGGTCTATGTGCGTGGAGATCTCACTCAAGACTTCGGAGGTATGGTTATGGCCAGGATGGTATCTTAATGTGGTGATCAAGGTTCTTCACATTCTAAGTCCAGCTCATTTCTTAGCCTTATTATTGCTCCTTCACTCTCTGAATTCCTCATCATTCTCTGAAGGGGTTGTGGTTTTTTTTAAATTATTATTCCACATGAAATAGGCTGTTCATATGACATATTTATACTCATCTTTCAAGACTCATATGCTTTAGAAAAATCTGCTTTTAGTGAGAGAGGTAACTGCTCTCTTTACTAGATGTCTTATGGTGCTTTGATTATATTTCTAGAGTATAACTTTGCTGTATTATAATTTTTAAAATCGTGTTTGTTCACCTTATTCCATGTTTGGATTGAGGCAGATATCATTACTCTTATGTTTATTAATCTTTTCCCACTAATAGATTGTGAGGCTGTATGGTATAATAAAAGGTAAATGAAGTTTGGAGCTACACACAGCCAAGTTCACATCCCAGCTGAGTGTCTTTCTAGCTAAATTAGTTAACACCACTGCCACTACCACAACCAAACTAGCACAATATTTCATGGTCTTGCATGCATGGCTATGATATTTTTTCACTTAATTCTTATTTGTAAAGTGCCTAACAAAGAATAGGCAATCAACACATGTTCCTGTTTCCCGTTTATATTCTAACTGCTTTTTTCTTTTTTTTTTTCTGAGACAGAGTCTCACTCTTGTTGCCTGGGCTAGAGTGCCATGGTGTCAGCATAGCTTGCAGCAACCTCAAAGTCCTGAGCTCAAGCAATCCTCCTGCCTCAGCCTCCCCAGTAGCTGGGTCTACAGGCGTGTGCCACCATGCCTGGTTAATTTTTTCTATTTTTTAGTCGTCTAGCTAATTTCTTTCTATTTTTAGTAGAGACAGGGTCTTGCTCAGATTGGTCTTGAACTCCTGAGCTCAAGCGATCCTCTCACCTCGGCTTCCCAGAGTGCTAGGATTACAGGCATTAAGCCACCACACCGGGCCTAACTGCATTTCTTCTTGAAGTCAGCAGCCATGCTACATCTTATATATCTTTGTAGTTTTTCAAGTTCTTTATGAAATGAGGCAGGATATAAATAAATAATCACCTCTGTGTCCTCAGGGCCCTGCATAGTACCTACGATGGTGTATAGTAGGCTATCAAGAATTCTTATTGAATGAATGATATCAATATTTATTCCATGTAAACCCTATTATCTAATAAAACAAATCTTCTCGTTCATTTTTATTGAATTGCCAGCTTATACTATGAACTGTTTTCCTAGTGATCCATAGACAGTCTAAAAGGAATCTGTAGAACTCCTTTCTCTCCCAAGCATATGTGAAATCTGATTACAATCTGTTCTGATTGTCCTAGAAAAACCACATCAACTAGTCTTGTCTCCCTAGTATCTAGTTATTCCTTGGTTTTTAGGAGATTTAAAATTAATCATGGCATTAAAAAATAATGTGATAGGAAGGATATATATTAAGGATGCATTTTAAAATTTTATCTAGAACAAGTAAAAGTCAGTTCTTAGGCCGGGTGTGGTGGCTCACCCCTGAGCACCTAGCACAATCCTAGCACTCTGGGAGGCCGAGGTGGGCGGATTGCTCGAGGTCAGGAGTTCAAAACCAGCCTGAGCAAGAATAAGACCCCGTCTCTACTATAAATAGAAAGAAATCAATTGGCCAACTAATATATATAGAAAAAATTAGCCAGGCATGGTGGTGCATGCCTGTGGTCCCAGCTACTCGGGAGGCTGAGGCAGAAGGATTGCTTGAGTTTGAGGTTACTGTGAGCTAGGCTGACGCCACGGCACTCATTCTAGCCTGGGCAACAAAGCAAGACTCTGTCTCAAAAAAAAGAAAAGAAAAAAAAAGTCAGTTTTTATTCCAAAACCTCAGTCTTACTCCCAAATCTAAGAAAATAGTCCTCTCCCAAATGATTAGTAAAAAAGTTATTTGTATTCAAAGATATGTGACTGTCTTTTCCACCAAGTGACACACAGGATTGTTACAAGGTTGAGGGATTCTAGCTATAGTCATTTGTTTTTCTTTCCCACCCGCTAGGCTACATCTGTTCAGAACAACACATAGGGAGGCTGAACAGTTTGGCTACAGACATCAGACAGCTAAAAGATTTTTAAGTAAAGAGCTTGTTAAGGTGACAACTTTTCTAAACTGTGGGTGTCACCTAAAAATATCCGCCATAGAATTGGAGGGAAAGACTCCTTTCCTTCATTTGGAAAGTGTGGTCTTTCTGAAGAACAGTTTGGAAATACATATCAAAAGTCTTAAAAGTATGTATACCCTTTGACCTAGCAACTATTTTTTATGAGACAGGGTCTCTGTTGCCTAGATAGTGTGCATAGCATCATCATAGATGCTACAACCTCAAACTTCACATGAGGCACCGTGCCCAGCCTTGACCAAGTAATTCTAATTCTGTAAATTTGCTTGAAGAAATTAAGGATGTGTACAAAGTTTTAGTGTCAAGGCTGTTTTTCCCAATGTTGTTTGTAGTAGTGAAAATTAGAACAACCTGCATGTCCAAAATAGACTGGTTGGATAAAATGATAATCATATGGTGGAATACTATGCATTCATTCAAATGGGTTTAGAATTTTTAACTATAAGGAAAATTCCATGGTGTATTTATTAAGGAAAATAAGCAAGTGATAAAAATACTATATATACTGTGATCCCACTTTTATTTAGAAAAGAGTTTGGTTCAATTATAAGTTGATTATCTGTTTTTTTCTTTTTGCTTATTTATACCTTTCAATATTTTTATACTGTATGTATAGTTCTTTGTAATAAAAAATAAAGTAATTTCTAAAAACTGAAATATTTTTCAATTGTCTTGTCTATAGGGAGATTCCATGGAGCTGGAAATATGGTGTCTTGAAATGAACGAAAAGTAAGTGCTCTGTCTTAGGGTCCTTGGTTGTGGTTGCTGAGGATAAAGCAGATGACATCGTGTGAAAAAGAGGCCTTTGTGTTCAGAGTCATGGAGGGCATTCTGACCGCTTAACAAAGCCAATAGGTCTTTGCTAGAATTTGCTTCATGCTTGGCTTCCAGCCTAGGCACAGAGATGACCTTCGAAGGGAGCGTCAGTTCAGAAAGACTCAGACACCGCAGGGAAAAGAGCAGCATAGAAAGCTGAAAAGGATTTGTTGTTTTCCCAGAGTACAGATAGTTCTCTGATTAAATCCTTTGGGAGCTCTTGTAACATGACTACTCTATTTTGTCTGTTTTCTGTATGGCAGCCATCCAATAAGATTTCCCCTCACTGCTCCTTTTTACAGACTGTGTTGGTCATGGATTGGAAATGCATGTTATTTCCCTCCCCCATTTTCTTCTTTCAAGGCAGATTAGCTTACCTCCTGCCTGAAGCTTCTGTTTTCAAGAAGAGTATATAGGAAAATTGAGGAAATATCAACACATCAAAAGAAAAATCTTAGTGATAAGTATGTGTGGTGCGGGCGTTATTTTTCTTTCTTAAATACAAAGCAATTGCCAGGTTATGGTCCAAAATTTTAGTACCAAACAGACTTTCCTCCAGATTTCATGTTAGATTATAGAGACAGCTCATAAGATAATACATTCATATTATGTTTGCACCTTCAGTATAATTTATTGTTTTCAAATGTGCTGCTTTAGTTCTTAGAGAGGTCACTACTTCAATGCTAGAAAAAAAATACGTTGAGTGCCTTCTGGTGCTCATCTGCTTGTGTCTAATGCATGAGAAAATAAAACTTTGGCTTACTTAACAATCTATTGATAAACTGACAAAGAACTTTAATTACATCTTTAGTTCAGAATATGTTTTAATAATAAATTTGTTTTGTATAGTTCTAGTACGTAATAGGAGGATGCTGACTGTGTCTGTGTGCTCCTCAGGTGTGATAAAGAAATCAAAGTGTCCTACACAGTGTACAACAGACTGTCATTGCTGCTGAAATCTCTCCTTGCAATAACTAGGGTGACACCAGCCTACAGACTCTCCAGAAAACAAGGGCATGAATATGTCATATTATACAGGTAAACAGCATAGATGCTTATCTTGATTCACTCATCAGCCTCATCACTTTGCACATTGTCTGACTGGGACTCACGTGTTATGATTGTGTTTGGACAGATGGTTGGTTAGATTGTTGGTGCTATAGCTTTAATATGATCACTATCTTGCTTCTCTTATGAACCTCAGCCTTCCAAAGCCACCAGGTTCATTTCCTTTTGTCTCTGCAGTCGCAATTTCTATGGAATGGATTTTGAGGAACTACTCATATACATCTCAAAGCTGGAAAAGGAACTTAAGACTTTGAAAAACAGGCTATCCTGGGAAGATTGCAGTCTTATGTATGCCATGGTTAAAAGTTTTTGTGTAACAAACTGCTAATTCAATTTAAGTTTTTAGTTAGATATCAAGAACTGGTCAACAGTTTGAGTATTTTCCTTGGAATATTTCATCTGAATATATTTACTGAGTGTCTTTTTAGTGCAGGCATTGTGCAGAGAAGTTACAAAGAGATCCTGCATTAGGAGTGTTTCTAATCTAATGGGGGAAACAGTTTGATGCATTATTATAATAAAAAGTAGGATTTGACACCTATATAGCAGAATCAGGAAAACGGTATTGAGAGAACAGAGGTTGGAAAAGTTTGTTCTGGGTGGTGAAAACAGGATAGACCTTATGGAGGAAGTAGCATGTGAGCTGGACTATGAGACAAAGAGAATTTCAGGTGGTAAAAGTGAGGGAGAATAATCATTTCAGATGGAGAGTACAAAGTTGGCAAGGCATAGAAATAAGGGGCAGGATAAGAGGTATACTCAGATTGTCAAATGGACCAGAATGGTGGAGTAGAGGGTATGTATGTAAGAAAGTGGAAAGTAGAGCCTGGATAGCCAGGAGTCCGAAATCATCCAGGACACCTTTCATTTGTATTAATGATGAGCCATTGGTTTTAGCCTTTGGATTATGTGTATAGAGCTGATTTTAGAAAAATTACTATAGCAGGATGGAAGGACCAAGGAGGAGACACTTTGCTAGTTCTGTTGAAACAGTGAATTGTTACTGTCATCATCCTTTAACTTTCTTAGCAATAACCTAGGAGGTCTAACCATTCTTATTTTTCCAAGTCTTTAATAAATTTTTGTTTTCTTTGTAGCCTTCCTAGGTTTCAAGTTGAGTGTTCCATCTGAAAATTACTAGACTTTTATTCAGATATAATAGATTACTTTCTCTTACCTTTTTTTTTGACAGAGTCTCACTCTGTTGCCCTGGCTAGAGTGCCATGGCATCAGCCTAGCCTCACAGCAACCTCAAACTCCTGGGCTTAAGCAAGCCTCTGCCTCAGCCTCATGAGTAGCTGGGACTACAGGCACGCATCACCATGCCCAGCTAATTTTTTCTATATATTTTTAGTTGGCCAATTAATTTCTTTCTATTTTCTAGTAGAGACGACGTCTGGCTATTGCTCAGGCTGGTTTGGAACTCCTGACCTTGAGCAATCCTCCCACTTCGGCCTCCCAGAGTGTTAGGATTACAGATGTGAGCCACGCGCCTGGCCCTACATGCATTAAATTCAGACTTTTAGCTAACATAAATTGAACTTTCCACGGAGATTCATGGGAAGCTTCTACTATGCTTATATTTCTATTTTTTCAGAATAATCTTGCCTAGTTAATTATTCTGTGGTAGAAAAGATTTTCTACTTTCTTAACCCATTTACTTTGGAATGACTTGTGACAAGCCTAAAGAGCTCCCCATAACTGAAGATCACTCATCAAAATCTAGTACTTTCCAGGAGCAGTTCCAGACCTATTGGCTAATGTTATTTATATATCCTTTATTTCCCAATAGGTATACTTTAAAAACACATTTGCAGGAGCAGAGAGAAGAAATTTTAATAGCAGTTTCCACTTAATTATTTTTCTCATTTCTTAACCAGCCTACTCTGTGCAAATCTCTGTGCCTGCAGCTTAACTGAAGTAGTCAGTAACATTAATGGTCTGTCAGGAGAGGTGTTCATGCAGATGCAGAAGGGTTTGTTTATTTTGTTTCTAGGTGTTTTCACTATCGAGTCTCTCAGAGTTAAAACATAAAGTTAACTTTTTTTTCCCTTTCTTTCCTACAGGATATATTTTGGGGAAGTTCAGCTGAATGGTTTAGGAGAAGGTATGTAACAAGGCTGAAAAACATTCATAGTATTAAGAGCTCTAGGCCGGGGTGCAGTGGCTCACGCCTGTAATCCTAGCACTCTGGGAGGCCGAGGCTGGCGGATGACTCAAGGTCAGGAGTTTGAAACCAGCCTGAGCAAGAGCAAGACCCTGTCTCTACTATAAATAGAAAGAAATTAATTGGCCAACTAATATATATAGAGAAAAAATTAGCCAGGCATGGTGGTGCGTGCCTGTAGTCCCAGCTACTTTGGAGGCTGAGGCAGAAGGATTGCTTGAGGCCAGGAGTTTGAGGTTGCTGTGAGCTAGGCTGATGCCACGGCACTCACTCTAGCCTGGGCAACAAAGCAAGACTCTGTCAAAAAAAAAAAGAGCTTTCCTGACTTCCGGAAAGATGAGCATGGTTGCCACCTGTAATCATATGTAGATTTTAATATGTATAATACAAGTAAAGATAAGAATGCATGAACATAGCCCAGGAAACTGCCAGGGATAACCAGATAATTTTCCCAAAAGTTCCAAGAATTCAGTCTTCTTTCTTACTCTTCATATAATAGCTTTGTTTTCCTAATTTTCTACAATGAGCGTGTTAAATGTTTCTGGTGAACACCAACAACTTTGAAACATTGAAAGTAAAACCAAGAAATCCAGGGAGGCTTTGTTGGAAGTGTCACCTGCAAGGCCCTGTCTCTTCTCTGTACTTAGTTCTGGAGTAGTAGCTTGGGTGGAGTGTGTTTACTTCATGAATTGAAGTGTTTGTGTAACAGATTCCTAGTGCTCCTTCACTGTCTCGTTTGGCATATGACATATCTGGGCAGGGCTGGTTAGAATTTCTCAGGCTTTAGAACTAACAATTATTTTATCTCTTTGAAGATAGTTTTATCTGGAAATAGAATGCTATTTCCCCTGCCAATGTTAGCTCAATGTAGAATAAATTGAAAAGGAAAATATATACACACACACATATACATGAAATTGATGCTGTTCACTGTTAAGTGGTTAATGCCAAAGACTATACAATAGGATGAATGATTCAGGGAAAGACAAACTAGGGGCAGTGTTTGTCAGTATTCTCTGCAAGGCCCAGTGTGGTGGCTCACGCCTGTAATCCTAGCATTATGGGAGGCTGAGGCGGGCGGATTGCTTGAGGTCAGGAGTTCGAAACCAGCCTGAGCAAGAGCAAGACCCCGTCTCTACTATAAATAGAAAGAAAAAAAATTAATTGGCCGACTAATATATATAGGAAAAAAAATTAGCCGGGCATGGTGGCACATGCCTGTAGTCCCAGCTACTGGAGAGGCTGAGGCAGGAGGATCGCTTGAGCCCAGGAGTTTGAGGTTGCCGTGAGCTAGGCTGACGCCATGGCACTCACTCTAGCCTGGACAACAAAGTGAGACTCTGTCTCAATTATATATATATATTCTCTGCAAAAAACCTAATAATTTCTCTCTTCTAGGCTTCCAGACAGTTCGTGTTGGGACAGTGGGCACCCCTGTGGGCACCATCACTCTTTCTTGTGCTTATAGAATTAACTTGGCATTCATGTCTACGAGGTGAGGAAGGATCCTGAAATTCAAAAGAACTCTTAAAAGGATGTTAAAGTTTTTTTTCTCCCTGAACTTCAAGACTAAGCCTACAATTAAGTGTTGCCGAAAACAGCCCCTTCAGAAGAATACAATTAAGAAAGAAAGAGCATAGTTGCCAGATTGGAGAATTTATATGTCCCAGAGCCAACCTGTCTAGAATGTAGAGTTGGTGGTCTGTATTTAGGGATTGTAGTGGCCAAGGCTCTGGTAGTGCCTGCCAACACCATATAAGGTGAAGGGCCCTCTAAGGATTTCAGAGGGGCTGGAAAGACATTCTAACAAATACTGCAATCTGCTTATTGCATTTCAGGCAATTTGAGAGGACCCCACCTATCATGGGGATTATTATTGATCACTTTGTGGACCGTCCCTATCCCAGCTCCTCTCCCATGCACCCCTGCAATTACAGGTGAGGAATGTGAAAAGGTGCTCTCCCAAACTGTAGCTAGGCAAAAAGCATCCATCCTGCACAGGTGCATAGAGCACTGTTATCAACTCTCACTAACCAGTGGGCAGTGGGGCGCTGAGACCTCATGTGGAGAGAAATCAAATGGCTAGTTTCCCTTCTTGCCTGTTAGGTACATCAAGACTTGGGGTATGTCTCAGAAAATATGGGGGCAGTTTAAATCTTTATAGTAGTGATTTGACTTCTCAGTAGCAAATTACTTAGAAATGGTAAGAGTGGCAGTGATTTGTGAAATGTCCTTGGCATATTAAATGGTTTTCAGGTCACCATCTGGCACAATTATATATCAGAATAAAATGTCTCCAAGTTTAGATCCCAGAAAACAGAATTCTCAGGCCAGGGGTGGTGGTGCCTAAGTCCCAGCTACTCAGGAGGCCAAGGTGAGAGGATTGCTTGAGCCTAGGAGTCTGAGGTTGCAGTGAGCTATGATTGAGCCATTGCACTCCAGCCTGGGCAACAACGCAGGACCCTGTTTTTTTTTTAGTACATTGCTGGATTTATTAAATTTTAGTATGGATTTTACATCTACATATGAGAATGGTCTCCAGTTTTTTTTGTTTTTGTTGTTTGTTTGTAGTATTCTCTCCAGGTTTGAGTAGCAGGAATACAATAATCTTGAACAATGAGTTAGGATGTCTTTTTTCCCCTTTTCTTTTCCTATATTCTGGAGCAATTTAAATAACATAGGTATTATCTATTCCTTAAAATTGGGCAGAATGTGTGAGTCTGTGGAGAAAAAGAGAAAATTTTAAATAAAAAGTAAACAGAGGCTGGTCTGAAAGTAGTGAGTTAGCTCACGTGATTGTTCACAATTAGTTACAGATTGAACTCCTTGTTCTACTACTTTCCCCCCTCCTCACTACTGCGCTTAACTAGACTTTAAAAAAAAAAGTAAACAATTCTCTAGAGTTCAGAATAGATGTGTATCAGGAAGGGGGGTACTACCTTTAAGTGATGGATAGCTTGTGAAGTTGGATAGATTTGTTTTTTGGGGTTTTTTTTGGTGTTGTTGTTGTTGTTTTTAACTTTATTACTCTCTGCTAGGAAGATAGATTTGTTTTTAAGGTTTAGTTATTTATTTCATTGAGTATCTATTACTAATAATTCTTTGAAGACCCAGGTTCAGCCCCCAACACCAGCCTGGCTTAAGAAAATATTCTCTCAAATGATAGGTCAGGTAAGATGTTTGAGGTTTTTAAAAACAGTCATTTTCAAACCTCTAGATGCTGCTGTCTGGAAATGTTTGAAATTATCAAGGACTCAACATGGCTCCCTTGCCAATGTGGACTCTGCCTGAAACAGTTCTTAGCACAATTGCCATCGTCTTCTAGCCACCCCTTGTATCCTGTCTGAAATTGACTGCCTTGCCACATTGCTCCCTTGCCAATGTGGACTCTGCCTGAAACAGTTCTTAGCACAATTGCCATCGTCTTCTAGCCACCCCTTGTATCCTGTCTGAAATTGACTGCCACCACCATGAAATTTGGTATTTCTTTCCCCTCACTTTAGAACTGCTGGTGAGGACACTGGAGTAACATATCCATCTGCAGAAGACTCTCAGGAAGTGTGCACCACTTCTTTTTCCACTTCTCCTCCATCACAGGTAGGGGGAACAGATGCTGGGGTGGTGGTAGTTATTTGGAATATATAGGCCTCATGAAATGGTGCCCAAATTTAGCTATAGTCCTTTTTGTTCGTAGTGGTGATTGTTTCAAGGGGATTATTTTGAAGGGTAAAGGAGAGTCTTCTTATCTAGCAGGTAATATTGCAGTGTTTCTAGACTGCAACCATTCTTTTTATTCTGAGACAGGGTCTCACTTGGTTGCCTGAGCTAGAGTGCAGTGGTATCATCATAGCTCACTGCAACCTCACACTCCTGGGCTCAACCAATCCTCCTGCCTCAGCCTCTCAAGTAGATGGGACTACAGGAACCTGCCACTATGCGAGGCTAATTTTTCTGTTTTTTTCAGTAGAGACGGTGTCTCCCTCTTGCTCAGGCTGGTCTCAAACTCCTGAGCTCAAGAGATCCTCCCACCTCAACCTCCCAGAGTGCTAGGATTACAGGTGTGAACCACTGCGCCCAGCCTTGACTATAACCATTCTTAACCTGCAGGATTACAGTTAGCCTTTACCTTCCTGGTGGTGTCTTAAAATTCCCTAGAAAATCAGTCATAGAATTTCAAATGTATTCTAATGCCAAGGAGGTACTGTAGCCTACATTTGTTTATTTTGTAGCTACTTCTTTTTGAAGTGGTAAATTTGCTTCCTAATAATGGAAAGAGCCCAAAAAAAGCCAATGGTTACTTAGTATAAAATCCTACTAAAAATCTAGTAGTGCAGCTTTTCTTAATAGTTAACACAGATTTCTGCCTATCTGCATTCTCTTTCCAGACATTTCTAACCATTAACTGTTCCATTTGAGTCAATATTCAGTGGTAGACCCAGTTTCAGTAAAACACAGGCTCCAAACAATGTCAGCATCCCTGGAGCATCTTTGTGGTCTTATTGTCTACATGGTGCTGAGACTGCTTTGGCTAAGCAATCATTTTTTCAGCTGATCAGATTTCAGGGGCACATTTCTTGCCTCTCACTCATGTCATTATTCTTCAGCCTTGTTGCCTCCAGACCCCTGCTCTGCCTGCATCATCTCCATTCTTCCCCTCCTCTTTGACTTTCACATTCAATGGTTTGTTCTATACCTACCTCAGTTCTTCTTTCCTTTAAATTAGCCCCATTTCACCATTTTATTTGTGGTACTTAAATAATTAATTAGCTATCTCTTGAGTTTCTATTTTCTGTGATTTTTTAATTCCAACAATTAAAATTTTTTTCCATCCTGGGTTGTTGGGGAAATACTAGATTAAAGTCATGGTTCTAATCTGTTTCAAAAGCAGGAGTTAACATCTGTAAATGACATTGCAAAATCCATGGATCGCTTATTACTTCTATTGTCCTAGTTTGTTTAGCATAAAGAGGTTCCTATTCTGAAGTTGCCTAGATAGTTTGGTTTGGGAGTGTGAGAATTGTTATTCCCCTGTCCCCATAAAAGTATATAGGCATAAGTGTTGGCATTGCTCTGGCCGGAGGAAGTTTCTGGAATGTTTACTGACACAGAGCAATACTGACAAACAAGGGAGGGACCCACCTTCTTTAGTGCACATTAATGGAAGTACATTAGTTTTAGGTAAACCGTAGATATGTCACATTTAAAGTTATTAAGCAAGACTGGACACGGTGGCTCGTGCCTATAATTCCAGCATCTTGGGAGGCTGAGGTGTAAGGATCACTTGAGGCCAGAAGTTTAAGACTGGCCTACGCATCATAGTGAGATCCCTTCTCTACAAAAAATTGAAAAATTATCCAGACGTGGTGGCGCACACCTATAGTCCCAGCTACTTGGAAGGCAGAGTTAGGAGGATTACTTGAGCCCATGAGTTTGAGGTTGCAGTGAGCTATGATCATTCTACTGCACTCCAGCCTAGGTAAGCGAGTAAGAACTGGTTTTGATAAAATAAAGTTTATTAAACAGGATTTTTTGTTTTGTTTTGTTTTTGTTACAAGTAACAGATTCATAAACAATAAATAAAGTTGTGACTTGGGAGATATGAGCTATGGGGAGGCTGGGCCTTACCAATTCAGTTTTTGCTCTTTCTCTGATACAGTAGAAATTTGACCCCAAAAGTAAAGGGAAGTTAAGTCGTTTTTACATCTGATGTTTGCATCAGAATTTGTTGGCCTGTGTGTGGAGAGGCTATATTTTTCATGGTTACAGTCTCCTATCGTGTGTTGTCACAGTTTAAAACTAGATCACTCTTAAGTTTTTACCAGCAGTGAATATGCCGTAAGTGCCCTGTCATTACTCCCTGAGAACCTCTGACCAAGGCTGGTACAGTTTGGTGCAGAAACACTCATTTTGAACCTTGATGGCAGAGAGAACAGAGAGAAAATTATTTGCTATTATATCTCCTCATTCCTGTTAATATTGAAATAGTTTCTTCCTTAGTGACTTGTATAATTATTGAGTTTAGCAACTTCCATTGAAACTTGTACTAGAGTCCAGTAAATACATGTTTATATGATATTGTTTGTTCTGCTAACAAAACAAGGTTCATTGTGTCATTTGGGCACTGAGTTGAATCTAGAAATAAACCTGCCACTGACCTAAGGTCCTACCTCCTATTCTGACCACTAATTAGCTAATTGGTCAGGTTTCTAATTGGTAAACATGGCACAGCAAGACACAAATAGTCACGAGGCCCATAAGTAGCTTTGAAATCATAAGAGTTTCGAAAGTGCCCTACCTTTTAATCCATCAGGTTTGCCCACATCATCAGGGACTGTAAGAAAACACACATACACACACCTCCCTGCACACCCACTCATCTTCCCCAAGGTGATGCAGGAGAGCCTGCATTCTGAGCTTTTTAAAGTTCTGGCCAACAAATGTCAGCTGTTTCTGCCTATCCCTGAAGACTCTACGTGCCCTGAAAAATGCTTTCAGTCAAACATTACAAGCCCTGCATCCTCATTTATCTTTGGCACACCTTGCATCTGCTCTCAGGTCCTTCCTGTTAGAAACTGTTCTTTAACTTCTTCCCACCCTTTTTTGACTAAAGACAGACTAACACTTGGCTCGGGTTTCTCTCTGGTGCCGAGTCATACCAGCTCAACTCAGCTTTGTTTTCTAGCTACTCGTCAGGGAGACAGGCATGCGTGGAGAACCCTGAGATAAACATCATTCTGGGGACCCCTCCAAGTTGTCCCTTTGGGAAGATAGCCACACACCTTCTCCCTGCTTTACTCCTGACTCACCAGTGTCTGTTCCAGCCTCTCTTGCTACTGCCCCTTTCAGAGTTTTTTTCATTTCTTTCTCAAGTCCCTTTTCTTTTTTCTCTCGTTTCTCCTGTCTCCGTGTGTATCTGTGCACAGTGTGTGTTTACTGTCACAAAGGCACATTTTCAGACCCCTACTCCTGTGGTGACGGACACTCTGAGGGTCCCCATGGCAGGACTGGCCTTTTCCCATCAAGTGAGTCCATAATGGGAAGAAGGGAATATAATCAGATGGCATCTTTATATTTAAAAATTGTAAATAAAGTAAAGTACAGGGTGTTATTTAAATGTGCCAAGTGTTCTGGGGGATTATTTTGAGGCTTGGCGTAGTAGATATTAACAGGACATAGCCACAGCCACCCAAAATAGTTTTCATTTGCCCCTCCTCCTACCATTGTTGGGAAAAATACATGGAGTTATTTATATCAAATTTCCAAATAAACAATTCAAGACTGGTGTTCTCTCTTTTTTCAGTATAAATAGAAACCCTCCCATACCTCCCACCTCCCAGGGTGACGAAGGGTGTGATTAGAGAAGATGGCCTCTGTCTCAGAGGGAGCTCTGGACAGAGGAGAAGATAAAATGACTGGAGAACCTGATGGCTTTGGCTTCAAGTTCTTCCTGGGCTTGTGCTCCACAGATCTGCTAGGCTTAAAACTGAAACAGTTAGCTGAGCCCCTGAGAAAGTGGGAGTAAGGAACTCATTTGAGGCCTTTGGGAGGTTCCACAGCTGGAAATCCCAATCCCAGTACAAACAAGTCTCGTGTTTTCATCTCTAAAAGTTAGCAGTCTGGTCTGTCCTCAACCCTTATCCCATCAGGCCCCTGCACCATGGGCACATGGGCTGGGAGCCGTTCCTGATCTCTCCACTGGAAGCCCACTTGTTAGTCACACTCTTAGGATTGCCTACTTTTTCCTCGCTTTTCCTCTGCCCCTCTTTGTTTTTCTCTTGCTTAGCTCTCAAGCTCTCGCCTTTCCTATCAGCCTGCTGCCCTGGGCGTTGGATCAGCTGACCTGGCTTATCCAGTAGTGTTTGCTGCTGGCTTAAACGCTACACACCCTCACCAGGTATCTTTAAAGATGGGGAGGACCATGGGCTTTCCAGTGTTGCCTCCCCTGCTCGGAGGCAATTGAGGGATCTCTGACAGCACAACTATTTTTCTAAGTGCTGTATTCCGAAGCAAAGCTCTTTGGTAACTCTGGAAGACTAGAGTGACTCTCTGAGAGGAAGGAGCCTCCTAGCCTTCAGAAAGGAAAGACTTTGCCAGGATTTTTCTCCCTCTCTTTCCTTTTCCCTCTCTAGTCATTACCATGCATGTCTTCCATTAACTGAGTCCCAAGGAGGATAAAGACCCAGGGATTTGTGCCCACTTGGAAGGATTGGTGGTGGAAAACTCAAAAGCACATACTATCATGCTAGGAAGTGAGCATCCCCCCTCCTGCCAGATGCTGCCATGATTCACTGTATCTTTCCATTTTTCCCCAAAGCTCATGGTTCCTGGGAAGGAAGGTGGGGTACCCCTTGCTCCTAACCAACCTGCCCACGGTGCCCAGGCTGACCAGGAGAGATTGGCAACCTGCACCCCTTCTGATGGGGCCCACTGTGCTGCCACACCTTCCAGCAGGTGAGTTCACGCAGGTTTTGACTCTGCCACTGCTATGGCTGGCCATGGGCCTGGGCTCCCTGACACACACCTGCTTATTTGGTATCAATAAAGAGTAGCTTTCAGCATTGCCTTGGGCTTGGCATTTGTGCCCAAAATGTAGACTCCTTAAAGTTCCCTGATAAGAATCTGATATTGCAGCTGGGATGTAAGGAAGCTAGCCTGGGGCTTCGCTACTAACAGGAAATGGCAGGGGCTTGGTTCTTGTCACCCTTATCCACTGTAGGGCCTGTCAGATGTTTTTCTCTTACCCCAAGATTTATCCCTTGGAGTCAGTCCTTGGTGTTTCCCAAGAACAAGAATGGGTGTTTACCACAGCCCTGAAGTCTGGGGCCACGGTGTATCTGTGGTTGTAGCTGGGGTTGAATTTCTTTTTCTGCTACATTAGAGCCTCATGGAGATCCTTTAGAAATAACTTTTTCTACATTTAAAAAAAGTTTAAATCTTTGTCTTTTCTAATTACTGAAGTGATACATTCTATAAAATTCAAGTAGTCATGAAGACATTAATTAAGTAGGAGGTAAAAGTTCTCATATTTCCACTCTGTGAAAATCACTGCTGTCACCTCCCTTTCAGAGAGGAGAGAACCACAGGGTTAAGTAATTGGCTGAAGCTCACTTATCTCAGAACACAGCTAGGGCACCAGGGGATCCTCTGACTCCAAAGCCACCACCCCTTCTTTCCATTACACTCAGTGCTCCCCTAGGACTGCCCTGCGGGCTGCTTTGGCCTGCCTTGCCCTGCATGGCCCTGATATGGAAGGCCCCAGAGGTAATGAGATCGCTTTGTCCGCCCACATCCTAGATGATCTTTCTCATCAGAGAAATTCCTGGGTTGTTTTTTCTTTCATTCCCACGGTGAAGTGGTGGGAGGGAAGTTGTTTAGGAAGATTTTTTTGTGCCATCTGTCAGGAAAAATAATTTATTTCACTCTTGGCTTCTTAAACTTCCAACCTCTCTCTTCACTTCCTTTGTTACATGATCAAAGTCCTTTTACACTCTGGCTTTCGGAGCCTTGACTCCTGGGGCATGTCCATGAGTAGCTAATGTGTGGGGAATCCTTAAATGTAGGTCATAAGAACTCAAAACCCTTCACACAGGATTGGTCTCCGTGTTACCTGAAGTCCAGAGTCCACTTTGACTGCATAGTCTTCCTGCCCACCTTGAGCCACTAGTTTTTGGCCAGAGGACTTTTCTTATCCTCTGCTGCTTACAGGGCTGTGACTCCTGGTCTGGCATCCATGGTGTGGGGCCCCATTTCTCTGCATAGAGCAGACTCAGCATCGTCTGGAGAGCTGACGAGAGGAGTAAGAACAGACAAATGGAATGTGCAATTGAAAGACCTTTAGGAACAGAGGGATGATGAGGGGCAAGCAGTGAGGAAGAAACACAGCAGGGAGCACAGAGAACCTCAGCCTGCAATTTGTCAAGGGTGGGGAGAGCTCTGGCTGGATAAGGAATCAAATTGGGACTCTTGACTTAGAATAATGGCAATGTCCCTCGTGAAATAAGGCTTAAATTTAACATTATACAGTCTTATGGTATTTTTAAATAACAAAAAGAAGAAAAGTTAAGATTTGGGGTCTGGCTGTGTAATATTAGATTAATGCTAAAATTACAGTTGTTTATGGGCATTGCTTCCTGTATCTATGATTGCTACATGATAACTGATGTTTATTACTGGTATTTCCCATTAAATTTTAAGTAAGCTTCAAGTCAGTGACAAGTTGGACTAAAGGGGAAAAAAATCTTAAGTAAGCTTTACACAATAACAGAATGTCTCATTCACATACATATAACTCTTAGTTGTTTCAGGAAGTCCAGCCCTCTCCTGTCAACTCAAAAGGCACGGTGACATTGGTAGCAGCCAGACCACGTACCGCCATCTCCTATGTGGGTGGGGGGGGCAAGCCCTGCCCTAGGCCACAGCCTCATCAGATGGTAGATTGATGGTGGACCAAGTCCTCTCTGCTGTGGTTTTAGAATGAGTACTAACTTTACCTGTCTTCTCCAGTGAGGATACTGAAACTGTATCAAACAGCAGTGAGGGACGGGCCTCCCCCCACGATGTCTTGGAGACCATCTTTGTCCGAAAAGTGGGGGCTTTTGTCAACAAACCCATCAATCAGGTGATTCTTTTTCCACTGCCCTCTATAAGAATGTCTAAGTCCTTAGAGTGGGGGCCCTATGGGTAGTATTCTTAACCTGACATCTGTGGAACTATTGAAATAGCATGGGCCGGGAGTGGTGGCTCACACCTTTAATCCTAATACTCTGGGAAGACACGGGTGGATTGCTCAAGGTCAGGAGTTCGAAACCAGCCTGAGCAAGAGCAAGAACCTGTCTCACTATAAATAGAAAGAAAATTAATTGGCCAACTAATATATATAGAAAAAATTAGCCAGGCATGGTGGTGCATGCCTGTAGTCCCAACTACTCGGGAGGCTGAGGCAGCAGGATTGCTTGAGCCCAGGAGTTTGAGGTTGCTGTGAGCTAGACTGATACCACGGCACTCACTCTAGCCTGGGCAACAAAGTGAGACTCTGTCTCAAACAAAAAAAAAAAAAAAAGGAAATAGTATGCAAAAGTATGTATGTAAGTTTTTCTTTGAGGAGGATTCATAAACTGTGACACTCCTCCAGGAAGAGTTAAGAATTATTGTTCTGTGACCTCTTTAGCCTCCCACAGGAGAGGGAGACTAGACACCACTTAGTACAAAAACACTGCACTGTGTCATTGCCTCTGCCTTACTTGAATTAGGAATTTCCTCAGCGGGACCAGCGAAGCACATTGTTACTGAATTACTGTGGGTCAAGCTTCCAAAGCTGAATTCCCAGGGTCCTCAGGAGCCCAGCCCTTGTGTGTGCTGTGGGTGTATGTGATGGGGGCCAGGGAGGTGGACAGCTTGGGGAGCCTCTAACAAGTCGGGAGCCTGAGGGGCTGTGCGGTCAGCGTAGGTGTGAACTTACTGCATCTCCAGGCTTCTGGCAGCCTGTAAGGAAGCACAAGCTGGGGGTGGGGCAGGCACTGAGGCTTTTCTCCTGTGTCTCCTCAGGTGACTCTGACGAGTTTGGACATACCTTTTGCCATGTTTGCTCCCAAGAATTTGGAGCTGGAGGATACTGATCCCATGGTGAGCCCACCATTGATGACCAGTTTCTATGGCTGGTGCAGTAGTCATCTTCCTTCCTGGGCCAGAGTCACTCAATCCTCTATAGGCCATAAGCCATGTCCCTTGGCTTAGGAATTTGTAGCGAGTGTTAAGTTCCTCCCCGAATCCTCAGATTGTTAGCAGTAACTTGCCTTCAGTTCACAGAATGAGCCCCTAACTCTGCCTTACTCTGAAACAGGTGAATCCTCCAGATTCCCCAGAGACAGAGTCTCCTCTCCAAGGCAGCCTGCACTCTGATGGCTCCAGCGGGGGCAGCAGTGGCAATGTCCATGACGACTTCGTTATGATTGACTTCGTAAGTTGCCTTCACCTCTTAACCTTTGCTGTCCCAGGGGAAATAAACGTAGAAGCATCTACTGCACTTGAACAAGATTTCCTTCACAGGGATCAGATGGGCTGGTGCAGACAGAAGGAATGGGACAGGTAGGGCCCTGTCTGGGGAGACATTTGGAGGCCCATGAACAATAAGGTATTTTGTGCCTTGACTCTAGTTGAAATTTATAAAGAAATTCAGCTCCAAATGGAGATCTTTTTTTAGTAGTATCCACTTAGGTCCTACCCATGTAGGTCCTGGGTGGATAAGCCTTGGCTTTGGAAAAAAGTGTGAAGGAAGGGGACATAAACCTAACCAGAGCAGAGGAATATTATCACCAGGATTAGAAGTCAGTGGCCCAGAAGTGAAAGGTATAAAAGATTCCTCTCCTTAAGATGAGTCTGAAGGAACCTTTTCTTTGATAATGGCTGGAAGGAAAGAGGCCTGTTCATAGCTCTTCTCCTCTGTGATTTTCCTCTGTGGTTCAAGACAAGCTAAACTGAGTCTGTTTTCCTTTTGAAGAAACCAGCTTTTTCTAAAGATGACATTCTTCCGATGGATTTGGGGACCTTTTATCGTGAGTTTCAGAACCCTCCTCAGCTGAGCAGCCTCTCCATAGATATTGGAGCACAGTCCATGGCTGAAGACTTGGTATGGAAACTCCTGCCTCTACCACACGCATTTTCTGACCTCCCACCCTCATTTGATGGTCCTTCCTGTGCCATAGGCCTAGACATTTCTTCTTCCTGTTACTCCTCTCCACCCCCACACCTCCATCTTCCCTATAACAGGAAAGAGACATTTTAGACTGTTACCTTCTTTGGATCACACTTGAGATTTGTGTTGTGCCTGGCAGTCATTATCTGGAATTTGTGCTCAGTTCCTCCTTTCTCTGCACGTTCGCAGCACTGCTTACACTCCTGTTGTCATGCCTGATGTCCTCTGTGTGCTGGTGCCTCTAAACCAGCTGCTCCAATAGCTCTTGCATTCAGCTGTTTAGCTTGCCAGGCAGATTCCAGTGGTACTGGGCAGAGCAGAATGTAAGGTCCTGAGTGTTACCATTCTTGTCCTTTCCACAGAGAGCTCCTTCCCTCGTCTAGCTCTCCAGTCCCCAACTCCTGGGCTGTGGACCGGTATTGGTCTGTAGCTTGTTTGTTAGGAGCTGGGCCGCACAGCAGGAGGTGAGTGGTGGGTGAGCAAGTGAAGCTTCATCTGTATTTACAGCTGCTTCCCATCACTGGCATCGCCACATAAGCTCTGTCTCCTGTCATGTCACTGACGGCATTAGATTCTCATAGGAGCAGGAGCTTTACTGTAAATGACGCATGCAAGCGATCTGGGTTGCGCACTCTGTATGAGAATCTAATGCCTGATGATTGACTTTGTAAGTTGCTGTAAATTGCACAATAAATGGAACATGCTTGAATCATTCCAAAACTACCCCCTCAACCCCCTGTCTGTGGAAAAATTGTCTTCCATTAAACTGGTCCCTGGTGCCCAAAAGGTTGGGACCGCTGAGCTAACTGTTCTCTTACTTGGCCAGATGTCCTGATACTGACCATGATTACCACATCTCTGCTAGGGCTTTTCCTATTTCCTTCCTCTGAAGGGCAGAAGAATGCCCTGCATAAGCCACAAACTCTACCAGGAGATGTCAGGGTCCCTTTGTCTGAGATGAAACTACTACCTCCTCTATAGAAATTAAAGGCCCCAGAAATAAATAGCTGCCCTTGGTTTGCTTTAAACATGCTTAGTAATAATAACATACAGTAATAATTATACTTATTATTACTAACATTTATCAAGGCTTTCTGAGTGCCAGGCATTTTCCTAAGCACTTTACATGAATCTTCAACGGCCTTAAGAAGTTAAGAGGTAAGTTTTCTTATTGTTTCAGTTTACAGATGAGAAAAGTGATGCTGTGACTGATTAACTTGTTCATGGTCTCACAGAGCCAGGCAAAACAAAGCTTTGGTCCCATAGGATCTGGCTCTAGGGTTTGACCTTTTAACCACTAACTCCCCTGACACACACTTGGCAGGAAATGGGTTCTAATTCCCCCAACATGATGCTGCAGCCAGTGGTTCCCAGGCCTCATCCCTCCTCAGGCAGCTGCACCCAAACTAGCCTCAGCAGTCAGTGTGTCTGGGCTGCTGCCCAAACTCTGCCAAGCACCTTGTGGGCTTCGCCCCCCTGCTGCTGGGAACTCTTCCTGCCATGGTTAAACTCTGCAGAGGCAATTTATGTTGATTTAGTTACCAGTGGAGACAGACCACCTGGTTAGGATCAGATTTTTTTTTCATAACTGTTGATACTCGAATAAACTTCTCATAGTTCTGGTTTCCTCTGCATCTCTCTTTTTTAATATTCTCTCAGCCCCCTCTAACCTCACCACCAGTGGTGTAAATTGCAGATTCCCAGGCCTCAACACAGACCTGCAGAGCGAGACGCTCTTGGGAGTACAGGTGCACTGCCCTATTCGTGTCCCCCAGGGGGTTCTGATGTCAAGCAAAGGGTCTGAAGAAACTTTTCATAGACTTTTCTTAATTTGTAGTGCTCCTACGCTTGCTGCTTTACTCTAGTGTCAGTTTGATCTGTGCAAAGGATATTTCATGTTTAATTTCTGTCATCTCATTCCTGTCATGGTCATTTTCTCTCTCTTTGACTCTCCAGGCTATTCTGTCAACTCCCCAGCCCCCACAAAACCCTAATAAATGGACACACATGCCCACCCCTGTCCTGTCCTGTCCTGTCCCTGCTCAGCTGTCCGGAGTTCTGCTTGCCAGCCAGCAGAGCTCTTTGTGCCACTCCTATCCTTGCCTCTGGGGGCCTGGGCTGGCTGTTTCTTCAAGGCCCTACCTGAATAATCTAGCTCTTCTCTCCCTTCCTGATACAGGACTCATTACCAGAGAAGCTGGCTGTGCACGAGAAGAATGTTCGAGAGTTTGACGCCTTTGTAGAAACCCTGCAGTAAAAGTGTCCTCCAGGACCAGTAGCATCCCCTTTTCGTGGCTCCAGGGGACAGAGAGCCTCACGTGCATCAGCTGCTCCCATCCCTCATCCTGCTCCAAGCTAGGTGGACGGGAGGGTGGTTCCCCCACAGGGATCCAAAAGTCTCTGCTCCTGGACCTCCTGGAAACTCCTTGGCGGCAGTCACCCCAGTACCAGCATTTGAGCGGACTCACCCTCTGGCCTTGGAGGTGGGGAGATCGTTTGTACAAAGGGGTCCTCAGCAGGGCCATAATCAGCTGCTTCACAGGGGTGTCACCCTGTTCCTCCTGCTGCCAGCCCCTTTACCTGGGCCTGCCCTGAAGCTGGCCCCTCGCCTGCCTGCTGTTGCCATCAACCATTTGACATTCCAACTGGCGGCCCAGAAACTGGTGCAGAGGCAGAAAGAGGAAGGAGACAGTGCTGGGAGGAAGGAGGGGAGGGGGTCTTTTAGGTTCTTCGTTGTCTCTTTCACCTCCTGCTAGCTTCTTCCTCTTTCTCTCCCTCTCTCTGCCACCTGTGCCTGTACTTCTGGCAATATGACAGGCCTGCTTTCCCAAGATAGAACTCCAAGGCCAGCCACTCGCACCCGAAGGTGGTGCAGCCCTTCCTAGAGGGTCAGAGCAGTTCTGGGGGCTGCCTGTGCTTAGCTCCTCAGCGACACGGGAAACATAAACAGAATCCTGTCTCTCTAGGATTCTGTCACTGAGAGTCACGACAAAGTTTCCTTCCTTCCCCATTGCTGCTCCTTGGTTATAGAACACAGTAAATATTTATTACTTTCAGAGAAATCAGATATTTTATAGAGAAGATATGTTTGAGGTTAGATGTTTTCACTCGGGGAAGGTGGAGGGCCTCTTCCCGGGGCAGAGGCCTCCTCCTGTGGAGGCTCTTCAGAGTCCAGGCTGCTGCTCTGAGGATCTTCTTTCAAGGCTAGGGCTGGCTGAGGGCCACGTAACCTCCCAGAACTGCTGCATTTGAACTGACAGAGGCTTTACCCTGGACACTGACATGTTCCTGGTGAGAGCCGTACGTCTCCCACGGCTTCTGCAGAGTGACTGACTCCATTCTGGCTGCCCAGGAAGTCTTGGGTGCTAAATGTGATGACCACATATAGTGCCCAAGGGACTTTGTGTGTCCCTCTCCTGCAGGGGTACTTGTTCCTGATCCTTGGCGCTGGACTACGGAGCTTTTCCTCCTCCTGCAGAGGCCTAGCCACCACCTCCCTTCGGTCCCTGGGTCTATACACCACCCTGGGGTTTACTAGCTAGATTGGCTCCTTGTTGAGAAACCAAAACTGGGCATATGATTGACTTAACCCTTCAGGTATTGTTACTTGAATAAGTCAAGTGCCTAGCCACAGCCACCAACCATTTGTCCTCACCTCCCTGGCAGCCCTGACCGTGGAAGAGAGGCCTGCCCCTTTCTTCCTGGCCCACCAAGGGTACTCATCGGTGGCAGCTGTGCTTCAGTGGAGCAGGTGGCTCTTAATTGCTTGTTAGTAAACTGCATGTGACACTGTTCCATCTATAAGACCTCTGAGGGGAGCCCTGGCCCTGTGCATGCTTCAGCTGCCACAGAAAAATGTTCCTAGCAGTGGTGGCCAGCTCCTGTCTTTGGGCCAGAGCACATGTGTGGCCTGCTGAACCAGATACGCCCTCAAAGCCCCGGCCCTGAGAGGGGGAAGGCCTCTGGTAAATTATTGATGCTTTCCCACCCCCTACATCTCAGCTGCTGCCCTCTAAGTCCTTGCATGGAAAGGTCTGTTGGCCTCTGTCCAAGGCAGTTTTCTTTGACACCCTGTTGGCCTCCAGGCAGCAGCCTTTCACCAGGGCCCCACCCATGAAGAGGCCAGGGAGGCTCCACCCTGACTTTGAACTCGGCCTAGGAGGAACAAGGTAACTGTCAGGCTGGCCCTTGCCCCTCAGCCCTGTACCAGAATAGGTATGAGCCCTAGACTGACTCCTGCAGCACCCCTGGGAAAGGCTGGGACCAGCCATCTGTCTCCAGGTGACAGAGTCCCTCCTCCTCCAGCCTACTTTGGAAATAGTGAGTTACACTTCAAAATGTATTCAAGAGATTTCCAATAAAATTTTTTCTGTACTTTACATCCTCCTGTCCTGCAGGTTTTCTCAGAACCTAGTGCTATGCCCTCCCCACCATGCAGGTCAGGGTCACCAATAACTTCCACTTGTGAAGCACTGAAAGACTTCAGGGCCAGGCAGGGCTGTTTGACTGTTGGGGCTTGGCCATAGCCCCTTACTGGCTGTGCAACCCAGGGCTGGTCAGGAAACATATTTGAATATTCAGTGAGAGGAGGGATGCAAAGTACACCCCTAGCAAAATCTCCATAAAATGTAGGCATTGTCATCAGCCCCTTACATAACAGGATGAGGGAGAGACAAGGTGCCAGGCCAGGAGTGTGGGGCTCCCCAGGCTGTCTGGGGCCTGCTGTGGCTGAGCAATGCCAGAGAAGGGAACGGGTAGAGGGAAGTGGTAGGAAGTCAAGGGCTGGTGCATGTTTGTTAACTGCCCTGATCTGACCAGTGGCCCTAGTGGGGGCACCAGGTAGTTCATGAAAAGCCATGAAAAGTAGAAGAGCCATGCAGGGATCAGCCTGCCTGGCCTTTGGGGGCTGTGGCTGTAGGCACCTCAACTCTGCCTAAGCCCACCCAGCCTCCTTGTTTGTACCCACTGTGGGCAGAGGGAGCTGAAGGTGAAACCAACATCCAGAGGCAGAGATGGTTCTAGAGGCAAAAGAAAATAACCGAACAGAGCTGGGCAACTGCTGTCTGGGTTGCCACCCCACCCCCTTCAGGCTGAAGCCAGGCCCTAGGATAAAAAAGGGCTGGTTAGAAAATTCTAAATTCAGCCCAAATTTGGGGCCTGGAAACCCGTGCTTATTAGTAAACTACATGTGACACTGACCATGCAGCCAGCCAGGACAGTTTCTCAAGTCCTGGGTCAAACTTGTTGAAGAGACTGTCCCTAACATCCCATTCAGTTGGGATCCCCACAAAACAAAGTGCTTGGTTGCCCTGTGACCAGCAATGGCATCCTACCCCTTTAAAGTGTTTCCTCACACTTTACCGGGAGACCCGCGGTTGCTAAGGCCTTGGTAAACTGGCATTTGAGTCACTCGGCAGAGGCCCTGCCAGGAGCCCAACCCAAGTAAACAGCTCCCTGGTCTCGCTCCCTCTCCTGCTTCCCTGGGTCACTGCCTCTCTGTTGCAAAGTCACCCAGCTAGAACTGAGCAAATCCAGGGAGAGGAGGTTGCCAATGCCTTCTGCCTCGAGGTACCTGGATGAATGCCACAGTTGTGCAACGGGACTAGTGTCTTGGGGCTCAGGGCCAGTGTTTATAAACACCAGCTTAACACTGCCTGATCCTGTGGCTCTGGCCTGGCTTGCCCAGCAAGGAGGAGAAAAAAAAAACAGGCTCAACTGAGGCTTTTTTTTTTTCTTTTTAAGACAGAGTCTCACTCTGTCATCCAGTCTAGAGTACCGTGGCATCAGCCTAGCTCACAGCAACCCCAAACTCCTGGGCTCAAGCGATTCTCCTGCCTCAGCCTCCCGAATAGCTGGGACTACAGGCATGTGCCACCATGCCCGGATAATCTTTTCTATGTATTTCTAGTTGGCCAATTAATTTATTGCCATTTTTAGTAGAGATGGGGTCTTGCTCTTGCTGGTTTGAACTCCTGACCTTGAGCGATCCGCCTGCCTCGGCCTCCCAGAGTGCTAGGATTACAGGCGTGAGCCACCTCACCCGGCCCCAACTGAGGCCTTGATAGCCTACTGATTGCAATTAGCGTGCAAGCCAGAAATACCTGGATGGAACTTGACTTTAACCACCAGGAAAATTCTGTCCTGCCCCGCCACCGTTGACAAATCATTTTAAAAAATTGTATTAAAATATGTAAAAGATAAAACTTACCATTTTAACCTTTAAAGCAAAGCAAAACCTGCTCAAGGGAAGAAAGGAAAACTGGGTCTTTCACAGCCTCCATGTGACTAGGTGGTGTGGAAACAGTGCGGTCTCTCAGCCTGGGGGCAGGCAGGAGAGAACAGTCAGATGCTGCCGGTTCCCATCTGGCTGCCCCATGACTCTGGGATGATCACTTCATTTGCCAGCGAGCTGATGGCCACTCTCTTACCACTGAGTGCCCACTGTGTTAGGTACAGCACACATTTCTGATCCTCAGAGGAAGCACTTTCTGGTAAGAAGTTGCAGAGCTGGAGCAGATGACATGGCTGTCAGAGTTGATCAGTGGCGGAATGAGGATTTAAGCCCTCACATGACTCCAAAGCCCACACTGCTGTCCATCACAGTCCATGCCATCTGTTTCCCCCTTGCTTGTCTTAGATGAACCCAAGGCCCCTTCACACTTCTAGTGCCTTCCAGTTGGGAGTGGAAGAGGCCCTGGTCATAGGATACAGCACTAGTGGCAGCTGGAATGCAGGTGCAGACAAGCAGAGGCAACCGTTGACCCTTCCACGCCTGGAAGGTGGTCAGGAAGCCGGCCTTGTAACCACTCCCAGGTGGACAAGATGGGGAAGGCAAAAGGACTGGGGAGGGGACTTCCCAAGCTGTTCTTCCTCAGCCACACCACACTGCCCATCCAGTCCCAAACAGCTACGCCTGGCTCACTTCCATCACAGCCAAATGGGCAGTTTTCTATCTCCATTTTTATTGAAATACAAAAAGTGCAAACGGTGAAATACATGATTGGTGCCAAGGAAGTCACAAAGTGTGAATGTGAACACTTGATTCACAGTACAAGCGCCCCCCTCCCCCAGGTACAGACCAGTGGGGCAGGGGACAGGAGAAAGACCAAAGAGATCCAAAAGGCTCCCCAGTGAATGGGGCTGTGAGCCACACTTGATATACAAAGGAGGACAGAAAGCAGAGCGGCCCAGGCTAGAGACACACAAGGACTGACCAAGAATCAGCAGCAGCTCCAGGCTCTGGGAGTCCCGATATACCGTAGGCTGCCTAGGGAGCCCAGTGAGGTCAGGCCAGGCTCCGCCTGCCTCACAGATGGGGCTGGTCTGGTCAGTGAGGATCCCCACCTGGCCAAGGCTGTGGGGGCAGGGTCACTGCAGGTGCTGCCCTGCTACCAGGGGTCAAGGCTGCAGGAAGGAGGGGGGATCCCCAGAGTTCACAAGAAAGGAGTATAATTCTAAGGAACACAGTTGGAATGAGGGTTAATAACCATCACTGGGATCCAGGTTTTCTGAAAAACAATAGGGCCCTGAGGCCCCATACTCCCTTGGGGAGATTGCCAGAACCCACCTGTCAGGGGCTGACCTATTAGCAAAATCCCTGCCCCTCCTATGGGCACTCTAAGCCTCTACCACAGCCCCTTTAAGAGTCCCCCAGCTGGAGGAAAGAGCTACTGCAGATCCTGAGGCACTGAGTCACCTCTGGCCAGAGTGACCCCACGAACAGGTCCACAGGCTGAGGCTTTGTCCACATGGGAGAGGAGGCAGATGTGGAGGGCGGGCACGGCTTGCCACTGATCCAACCAGACACGAGGGCTTGGCAGCTCCCTGCCATCTATTTCAATTGGATGCTGGGACTCTGAGCCCTGTCATCCAAGCTGCCAGTCCTGGCAGAACCAAGAGGTTAGGCCACCCTGGGAGCAGTACCACTTGGGAAAGGCTGACCCAGGGTATGTGGACAAGAAGAAGGCAGAAGGAGGAAGCAGGCTCCAGTCTTGTCCTTCCTCAGCTGTGAAAGACACAGGCTGAGCTGCTGGGGGCAGGACAGGGGCAGGTTGCCCATGTCCAGGGCTCCATGCTGAGGGACTTCTAAAAAGTAGGTCGATAGACCCAGACAGGGAGGTGCCTCAGTGTGGCCGAGTCAAAGAGATTAGCTGTTCCTCCCCCAGCAATCAGAAGGGGAGGAACAGGCCCTGCTGCCAGCCCAGCTGGCAGCGATTTTGTCATCCACAGTTGCCAGGGAAAGAAAGGCAGGAAAAAGCAGGAATAGGGGTTGCTGGGGTTCAGTCCTTCTCCAGCCAGAAGAGCCGAGCCCAGCAGGAGTCAGGGGTCCAGAGAGGCAGTGAGAATCATAAGGCAAAGAAAAATGTCTGATGGTAACACCGAGTCCTCCAGGGCCAGTGAGGCAGGCAGTGGGGAGGAGCTGCCTGGTGGGTGGCTCCAGCTTCCATCTCCAGGAGGCTTCGTGGCCCCTTCCTGGGTGGGAGCCCTGGGCTCCTATAAGGCTGATGCCAGGAGGAAGAGTCCAAACTGGGGCTACCAGAAAAAGGGGCTGGCGGGGCAGGGGCTGGGCTCAGACTCCCTCAGGCTCGGGGCTAGGGAACAACTCCCCTTGGTGGTCCAAGAGGAACTTGGTGAAGGTGTTGATGGGATTAATGGCCTTGAGGGTGATGGCAGCATCCTTGGCCCATAGCAGGTTAGGACCAAAGACGACAGCCAGGTTAGTGTTGGTCATCTTGTTCTGGTCAGAGTGGGCAGAAATCTGTGGAGGGAATCGGAAGGCTGCAGTAGGAAGCCACGGAGCCTCTTCCTACTCCCACCAACCACGAAGCAGCAGCAGTCCCTCCTCCTCCCTCCCTTTCTCCCGAGGTGAGCGCTAGAGGCTGAGGCTGAGGCCTCACCTGCACCAGGAAGGCAGTCAGGAAACGAAGCACCTGGTAGTTCTCCTCAGGCAGCGTCCGGAGGACCTGCAGTGTCACCTCCACCCTCTGGCTCTCATCAATGTCTGTGAGGAAAGGGGCCGAGGTTAGCGGGGCCCTGGGCTAAGCTGGTTCAGGGAGACTCCAAACAGACTTTCCTTGGAGACACCTGGGCCCATAAGCTGGCAGGATGGGTGGACAGATGGCCAAGCACATCTGCCCCAAGTCCAGGCCTGGGAGAGACCTGCACAGCTGGTGAGGGGGGTGCAGGGGGACTCACTGAGAAAGCCCACAACGTGGGGGTAGAGGTCAAAGGTGAGCAGAGGCTCTGGAAGCTCCCGAAGGAAGGTCTTGAGGATGACTGCTGGCAGGTGCAACTCATTGTATTGGTCAAAGTCCACAGGCAGCCCTGGGGGTGGGGGAAGTACAGAGAGGAGCTTGGGCTGCAGCCCCACTGCCCGGCT